GTGTTCTTCCATTGATGAGCACTGATGTACGCCGCGAGCCAGCGCGATACCGCACCGCGCTTTCGGGTTCTCGGGCTCATGGCGCCATGATGCGAAGCGGCAATGGTGGAGGCGCAGCTTGGCGGCGGCCCCTGATACTTCTTGAGCAGCCCCACATGGAACACATTGTGGATGCGGGCGCGGGAAGGAAGCTCCAGCCGGACGACGACCTCGTTGATGAGTTCGACGACGCGGTACGGCCCGAAGAAGCGCGGCTTCAGTTTGCCGCCCACAGCCTGAGGAAGAGACGACGCCACTACCGACGAGGCGGCGGCGCCAATCACCGACCTGATAAGTGACGTCTCGGTGCGCACGGTCGTAGTGGCGCTTTTGGTACGCCTGTGCCTGCTCCAGACGGTAGCGGATGTCCTCCAGGAACTCCGCGCGCTCCTCCATGCTCTTGGCGACGGCCGACACCCTGGTTTCCCCGGGTTCATAGGACCGGATAGAAGGAGGATCACGCCCGTAGACCACGCGGAAGGGGGTGTCCCGCAGGGACGTCTGGTAGGCCGTGTTGAAAAGGAACTCAGCCCACGGAAGCCACCGGAGCCACTCGCGCGGCCTGCCTCCTGCCATGCACCGCAGGTACATGAGGATGACGCGGTTGGCCGACTCGGACTGCCCGTCGGACTGGGGGTGAAACGCCGTGGTCATCTGCAGCTTGGTCCCCATTAGCCGCATCAACTCCTGCCAGAACGTAGACGTGAACACCGTGTCCCGGTCGGAGACCATGGACTGTGGAACACCGTGGAGGCGGACAATGTCGTTGAAAAAAGCCTGGGCTACGGATTCAGCGGAGTACGGGTGTGCCAATGGGATGAAATGGCAGTACTTGCTGAACCGATCCACCACGGTGAGGATCACCGACTTGCCGCGGACCCGTGGCAGCGCCTCCACAAAGTCTAGCGCGACATCAGTCCACACGCCCTGTGGAACCGGCAGTGGAAGAAGGAGACCCGCAGGATGCTGGTGCTCGGACTTGTAGCGTTGGCAGACTTCACACGTGCGCACCCGTTCCTGCACAACTTGCTTCATGTTTGGAAAATGGAAGTCACGACGCAGCTGGTGGAGCGTCCGCTGTACGCCTTCGTGTCCGTCCTCATGTATGGCCCCCACAATTTCTTGTAGCAGCGGGGAGTCGACCGGGATGTACAGCCGCCCGGAAAATTGAACCATGCCGTCCACCCACGCCCAGGGAGCTGGTCGGGTGCCCGCTGTGATCTCGCCATGGAGAGCAACAAGGGCCGGTGGTCCAAAGAGACTGCGGAGCTTGGCGATGAAGTCGGCGCGAGCGCGAGAGGGCAAGGAGCTCTCCCTCCACGGTGTCGCGGCTTGGACAGCGTTGTCGGCGACAAGGTCTCGTCGCTACCGCTTGTACTCGATGGAGAAGTCGAAGCCCAGCAGCTTGCCAACCCAGTGGTGCTGCGGAATGGTGGCCAAGCGCTGGTCTAGCAGGTACTTCAAGCTGTAGTGATCTGTCTTGACGGTGAAACGGCGCCCCCAGAGGTATGGCCGCCAGTGGCGCACCGCCTGGACCAAGCCAATGAGCTCACGCTCGTAGGCTGCCAGGGCTTGATGTCGAGGCGCCACCGGTCGGCTGAAAAAGGTGATCGGATGCCCCTCCTGGATGAGGACAGCACCAAACCCGTGGGACGACGCGTCGCACTCGACGACAAAGGGCTTGTCGAAGTCCAGCATAGCGAGCACCGGTGCCGAGGTGACCGCCTCCTTGAGGGCGAGGAAGGCCGAGGCAGCCTCAGGACCCCATGCGAAGCCCTCCTTCTTGAGTAGCGCGGTGAGCGGCGCGGCGATGGAGCCGTAGTTGTGGATGAACTTGCGGTAGTATCCCGCGAGCCCAAGGAAGCCACGCACCGCCCGCGCCGAACGAGGTACCGGCCAGTCGTGAATGGCTCGCACCTTGGCGGAGTCCATGGCCACCCGCCCCGAGATCGTGTGGCCGAGGTAGGCGACAGAGGCGACCCCGAACGCACACTTGAGCGCTTGACGAAGAGGGTGTGCCGACGAAGCCACCGAGGACGGCGCGCGAGGTGACGCAGTGGTCGGCCCATGACTTGTCAGAGATCAAGATGTCGCCAAAGAAAACAAGTACAAACCGGCGAAGAAACGGGCGCAAGACGCTGCTCATGAGCGCCGAATGTGGCCGGGCGCTGCAGAGTCCGAACGGCATAACCAGAATTGTAGAGGCCGTCGTGTACGCAACGCCGTCTTGTGAACATCCTCCGGCCGCATGCGCACTTGGTGGTATCCCGAGCGCAAGTCGAGCTTGGTGAAGTACTTGGTGCCATGGAGCTCATCCAAGAGCTCGCGGACGACGGGATCGAAAACGCGTCCCCTGACCGCGCCGCGTTGAGGGCGCGGTAGTCGACGCAGAATCTCCACGAGCCGTCCGGTTTCTTGACGAGAAGGACCGGTGAGGAGAATGCGGAGTCGCTGCGCCGGACGATGCCATTCTCGATCATGGTCTCGCACTGCTTCTCCAGCTCAGTCTTGTGGGCGGCCGGATATCTCAGAGGGCCGCGATCGCCATCGCGCGCGGTCCGCTTGAGGATAATGCGCGCGCTTTCGGACACGCTGGGCTGGAGGCAGGCCCTTCGGCTCGGCGAAAACGTCGGCGAAGGAGGCAAGCAGCTCGTCGAGGAGGGGCTCCATCACCGAGGCAGAGTGGATGCGCGGCGGTGTTGGCGGTGTGACGCTGCGCCAGCAGACCTGCTGGTCCACCACCCTGAACTCCATGGTCCCGGCGGCCACGTTCCAGACAATATCACCCAAGGTAGCCAGCTATTGAGTGTCTAGCACCAGGTCATAGCCGGCCAGGGGCATGATGTACAAGTCGACCGCGAACGGCCGGCTGTCGATGACGATGGGCGCCTGGCGCAGAACGCCCGGGCAGGCGATCCGTTCCCCGTTGGCCACGGTCGCAGTCAGCCGAGGCCGAGGCTCGACGGCCAGGCCAGCCCGCTGTGCGGCCACCTCGCCGATGAAGTAGTGGGTGGAGCCCGTGTCAATGAGGGCGATCAACGTGGCCGCGCCCACCTGCACCTCGAGTTGGAGAGTACCGCACACTGGAACGCCGGCGATGGCGTGGAGGGAGTAGACGGGTGCCTCCTCAACGGGCGCGTCCTCAGCCAGCTCGACGCCGTCGATGTAGAAGATGTGGCGGCAGACTCTGTTGTGGCCGCGTGAGTATGGCTCGTTGCAGTTATAACAGAGGCCGAGGCGGCGCCGTTCCACCTGCTCCTCCATCGAGAGGCGCTTGCCCCCGCTGCTTGGTGGTGGTGGTGGCGCCGGTAGTGCCAGGGGCTGCGCCTGGGGTGCTGGCAGCGCCTGGACCGCGGGCACCGACCGGATGGGCGCCGGGAGGGCCGCCAAGACGCCTGGACGTGGAGCGGGCGGTGGCCCGAGCGCGCGCTGCGCAGCCTTGCCGGGGGTGGAGTTGAGACGGTCGAGCTCGACCAGTTCCAACGCCCGTGCCAGACTCATGGCTGCCGCGAGGGTCTCCGGCGCGTGGATGCGCACCTGGTGGCTGAGCGGGGGCAGCAAGCCGCCGGTGTAGAGCTGCACCCGCTGGCCTTCCTCGAGCCGGCCCGCGCGAGGGAGAAGCGCCTAGAAGCGGTTGGAGTACTCCTCGACCGTCCCCGTGCGGCGGCACTCGGAGAGCTCGAACAGTGGGGCGGACCGCAGCACCGGGCCGAAACGCAGGTTTAGGAGTTCCTTGAAGCGCCCCCATGGCGGCGTGCCCTCGTCCTCCTGAAGCTGGATGAACCACAGTTGGGCCACATCCTCCAGGTTGTACGACGCCATCCACACCTTCTCCTCTGGCATGGTGCGTTGCTGGCGGAAATACGACTCGCACCGATTGATGAAAATCAGTGGGTCGGACTTGCCGTCGAAACGCGAGAAGTCCATCTTCCGGAACCGCGGGGCGATCCGTGGTGGTGCCGGGCGTCGTGGTGGGTCTTTGGAGTCGGTCGACGAGCCGACCTTTTCCTTCATGCCCGCGCCATGTCGGTCTCGCATCTTCGACATGTCGCTCTGGTCGTCGTGATCGGAGCATCTGCATCACATCAGCCATGGTTGGTTGCTCGCCATCGGCCATGGTTGACGGTGCGGACGTTGCCGTGGGCGAAGAGGAAGGAGATGGAGGCGGCGGCTGGAATGGTGGTGAGGCTGCGGTGGAAGATTGGGTGGAGGTGGTGGAAGAGGATCGACGAGACTGAGATACCAGGTTGTCAAGGGCAGTGAGCCCGAGGGTAGGAGGACCTCGGCTACGTAGATCGTAGCCGCTGTCCGTGATGGCCGGCCGGGTTATACCCCCTTGCCGCCGTTCTTCGTCGGTGGGTTATTCCCCCTGCCGCCGGCTTAGGTAGAAGAAGAGAGAGGATTAGATGGTAATATCTTTCTTAATTGCCAAGCGTTTGATTACAGCATATCTATAGCCTCTGGCTCAACAAAAAGAGTAACAAACTCCACTAATTAAGGACTAACCAAAATAGCTAAAAGATCTCCTACTTTCCCTCCTAGCCACTGCTGGAGGCCGTGCCCTGCGTGCTTGCCGTGCGTGCAGCAGCGCGTTCCTGGGCTCGGCGCATGTCACGGGCCCTATGGCGCCTGGTGTACACTTGTTTGAACATGACAAGTTCCTATTCCCAGACGAGCAACCACATGTCGTATCATGGATCTGCCCTAGTATACAGATGAGTTAAGCAACAGATGACAGCAGATGCAACAAGTATTTGGTGGTGTTACATTTCTGTTTGATGCCATCATGATGTCCAAAAGCATGGTGACAACGTAATGCATCATTATACAAGATGTCTAAGATTGCTGGCGTTGGAACTCATCCAGGAGATACAGGTCGAGAATCCGAGTGTCACATTCCGTCCTACGATGCCTCGATTGGGAACAGCACCTCCAGAGCATAACAGTGGAATATTAGAAGTTTAGAACACGAGCGGAACAGCATCATCTTCAGCAGTTTCCTGTGCATCAGGCAAATCGGGCAGGTCTGCACTGATAGAGAACCTTAGCCATCGCTTCTTCTCCACGTACCCTAGGCATGGCTGCAGCACGAACCCAATGACCATCGCTAGGATGCTCACCGCCATCACCTTGTAGGATGCGATGGCCATCACCACAATGATCAAAATAGCTGGTGGGATGATCATCAGGACAGCACCAATGGTGCCCAGAGGTATCTTAGTAGGGCGAGAGAGAGGCGCTCGGATGGGTCACCCGAAGCTTGATGATGAAGGCAATGAACTCCAGGATCATGCCAAAGCAGTAGAGGTAGTTCTCGGCGGCGATGATTTCCTGGAAGCTCATCCAGGACAGTAGGATCACACCGAAGGCTGAGAAAAGGATGCCAATAAGCGGGGTTCCATAGTGAGATCTCTTGGCAAAAAGTCAGGAGCATGCCACGCTCAGCCATCCCAAGAAGCTGGTAAGAATCACTGCTCATTTCAGTGAGGAAATTGCCCATGTTGGATAAAGCAGCTGCTGCTTGGATCCATGAGTGCAACCAAATGCCACCGAGAATTCTTGCAATGTCTGAAAAATACCCATCTGACCAGTACTCCCGAACAACTGGAACTGCTGCTGTGCAAGTTATCAATGGGTAGAGGTATCCTCCCACCACTAGAACTAGAGCATAAGAAAGCGCTCTTGGTAGGGTTCTCTTTGGATTCTCAACTTCACCAGCTAATGTACTAATTGAATCCCAATAGTTGAGGTTCCAAAACAGTGTATTTAGATACAATCCCCAATCCACATTCCCCAAGTCCATTTCAAGCCACCTTGAAGGTTCAATCCTTGAATAGCAATCAATCCCATCACAAAGAATGGGAGGAGAGAGAACACACCAAGAAAGACTGCCACCCAGCCAACTATAGTCAGCCCTCTGTAGTTCATATATGTAAGCGCAGCTGTGAGGATAAGCACTGCTAAGGTCCTTGGGAGCCCACCTCCAAGAGCCGGAACACTGGACTTGACATAGTCCAGAAAAAGAACTGGATAGAGGGCATTATCTATGACACCGCTGAGCCACTTTGCCCATCCTTGCTGAAAACCCCAGAACGGACCAAGAGCTGAAGAAACCCAGACAACATAACCACCATTCTCTGGGAACATTGTGCCCATCTCAGCAGTGATTAGAGCTTCTGGAATGCTCCATATGAGCTAAACAGAAGAAAGCCCACGATTGCTAGTAGTGGCCCAGCAGCCTTGACACTATCCTCAATCCCAAAGGGACCCCCTGAAACTTCATAGAATATGAGGAATATGAGGGGTACCATGGAAACCTTGGGGATGCCATGCCCTCCCTTACGCTCTTCACCCTCATTGACGCTGTTGTACTTGACACCGACACGATCCCCCATTGGAAAACAGGCTGAATTTGCTCGTGTTGTTGCTGTGTTCCTCAGTTTCTGCAGTTGGTAAGCCAAATAGTCAGAAATACCCAAACATATGGTTCTTCCTTGTTTCAACATGGAAAATGGATATGACCAACATGAGTGATTGTATGGGGAAAAATCAGTGTCTTCAAATTCTCCAATGAGCACGTGAGTGGTTTATTGTTTACACATTATATGGTACTCAGAAATACTAGGCTCCGAATGTATTTTCTTGGAGAACAATGGGCACTAGTAATAGTCAGAACGCAAATCAGTGTAAAATTAAATATTATTTTGGACAACGTGGGAAACTACGCTCACTCAGTAGAATCAACACTGATACTGTGGGAGAAAATCATCAAATCGATCCCTTTCACTTCTGCATGGAACATGCAGGTGATCTCTTGCTTATGGATGTTCATTGGGAATAATGAAGCCCTAGTAATTTCTATGTGTCTTGAAGGCTGAAGGCCAATTAAACAACTAGAGTAAAAAAAAAGAAATAAGGAACGGAGTTAAGTAAATTAGCACACACACTTCAGTGTAAAAAAGGGCAACGATAAAAAGGACAACCAAAATGTTGGGACAATGCCACAAAATGCTAGTTGCTAGGGACCTCGAATGAGATTGTACATTACGTCGATTAGAATATCCTTGGCTACTTAAATTAAGGCACACGTGAAGCATTAACAAAGAGAAAATAATGGGACCAAGAATTTATAAATCACGGATATACTAGCAATGAAATAATCTGTGCATGGAACAGAGAATTTATTGTGCGTATCAGTGGCAATAAACTGAGGTTGCCATAAAGAGCCGACACCCACTCCTCACTCCAACGTGCCAAAGCTTGCGAAACTGAAAGGATGCGAAGCAGCACAGTTGACCATACTTACTGCTAGAGTAGAAGGATTAAATGATTAGTTACTCTGGTTGGAGCGAAAACTGTGGAGCTTGCAGATGGCAATGATGGGCGGCGAAAAGATGTGTGGAACTAGAGCACCTTCTTGTAAATTGCAAACTGGACCTAATTTGAATCCAGTATAGCAATGAAGTAACAAGATGTGCACCTATTGGTGAGAAGTAGGTTGACGAGGAAGCAGTGGTGAGGAATCAGACGGAACGGATCCAGGGGGCGCATGCGGGGCTGGGAGGAGACGGCCGCGTGGAAGTGGAATTGGGTCCCGGCGAGGAGGTCGACGGGGAGGGGGGCAAGCGGTGTGGATTCCGACGAAGAGGCTCGATCGGGGTTTGGGCTGTGGGCTGAGCGCGGTAGTTGGAGGGAGGGAGCAGCGATCTGTAGTCTCGAGCCGTCACGTCGTCGAGGAAGGAAGGCAATCCGAACTGGCATGGCCTGACGGAGCGGGCCAGCCCCATGGCCCCATGGCAGCAGAATCAGAGGGGGAGAGGAGCCAAGAGCGCTCACCATCTACCGCGCGGCGGCGCGGCGGCCCGCATGCTCCGAGTGGATCTCCCTCCCTCCGACGGCGCGAGCGCGAGTCCGCGTTCCTCCTCGCCGGACGCCCCGAGAAGTGGGAGGGAGGGCGAGAGCGGAGGAGTCCTGGGTGAAGGGGCAGGAGTAGCCGATGGGGGCAGTAGCCTAGTCCCACTGGTCAGAGGAAGGAGCAGTACACGGACACGCGATCGCAGCGCCGTCAGACTTGGGACGCTGGCGACGGGAAGCAGAGCAGAAAGCACACCTGTGTGTCATGCACGCGCTCAAGCTTCCTGCCAAAGTGCCAACTACTCCTGCTGGTGTCCGTATGAGCCAGGAAATTCTGAATTTTGACGCATGCCAATTGCCAAATGCCATCGAAACAAATGTGGTAGCTCGTAGGTGATGGAGCAAAAGTAGCCCACACCACCACCAGGCTCCAGGCGGCAGGCACCAGCCGAACTGTGGAACCAAAGAATCCGTCGCACGCGGGCCGCGTGGGAGCGTGCATGCTCTGCAACAGCCGCGCTAGTTCCACGTCCCTCTACATTATCTTTGTTCATTTCTCCCTCCAGGACGTAGAAATCCTTCGGGCATCCATCGGGACGGACATTTACCGTGACCGATGTGTGTCCATGCTAATGAAGGTCATGGCCAAGGCTAATCAAGTTATAAACAGTAATAAATTGATTTTTTTTATCTCAGTAATAATTTGATCTGATCAGAGAGGGTCAATGTTTTTTCCGGAAGGGCCAGCGGCCGAAGTCCGGACGGAAGGCGCGTGCGGACGCAGCTCCCACACGTTATCTCACACCGTATCCTACAATCCGAGTCCGCATCCTATCTAGCATCAGTGCCCCCACGTCCGCATGCCGCACCCGCGCCCACCCCTAGGTCCCACGTGGGTCCCAGCCACTTGCCCCGCTTGCAGATGTGTGCCGCGGAGGCGTCTACCGGCCTCAGGCGTCCGCACGGTGACCCATGGCGGCGCCCCAGCAGCAACGGCAGGGCGGTTGCGGCAGATGAAACATGTGCTCTTCCAAATCTACTTTTGAAATATCCAGATAAAACACTTGCAACGTACGTCTGAAAACAGATGAAACACTTCAAACATATGTTTGAAAAATGCGTGTATAGTCATAGCAACATATGCACATCGAGATCTATTTTTTGCAACATCCAGATAAAACACTTGCAACATGAGTCTGAAACATGTGAAACACTTGAAACATACGCTTTGAAACATGCGTATAGAGTCATAGTAACATATGCAACATCTAGATGAAACACTTGAAACATACGTCTGAAACACTTGAAACATATGCTTACAACATATGCAACATCAAGATCTATTTGCAACATTCAGATGAAACACTTGAAACATAAGTCTGAAACACTTGAAACACAGCGTCGCTGGCGCCCACAACCTACTTGGTGATGAACTCCGGTAGCCAGCAAGCTCGGATACGGGGGACGTCGAGAGCAATGGTACAACGTACACCCCAGGCGCAGTGTGAAGGCCTCCCCTTCCTACCGACAGGTGCGTCGGAGGGGGCGCAGGTGCATGCCTCTCTTGCCTCTCCTTCTGCGACGGGCGAAGTGGATGGGGGCATTGCGCGGCGGAGCAGCGCGGGATGTGACCGGGTATGGCGGCAGAGAGGAAGGAGGGCTGGAGGCGCGGCGAAGCGTAGTCACAGCGTGGCGGTGAATTTTTTTAAGAAATTGTGGTGCCTGAAGAGGAGCAGGTATAGGAGCGGATAAGAGAGCCTCGTGGACATCGCGACCCACCAACGGGCCGATTTTTTTCCAAAACCCACACAGATGCTAAGCGTAAACTCACACATATAGACACCGTACACACATCCTATCTTTATCGTATTTTTAAATCACTGAACTGGACTAACAAATCTCTTGATACTAAATATTTATTTGGTATCCACTCAATCATTGCATGTCTCTTTTTCATATGCTTACCCACCACTCACCAATTTTCCAACCGTGGAAATAATAACTGCACGTGATATAAACGACAAAATATCCCAAACCTTTTTTTTATATTAGAAAGGCACACCAAATGTTTTCCGATCAATGTTTCTCTATGAACACTATTGGGCTATTGTTTTTTTCTATGTACGTGAGAGTGGACTCCGTTTTAGAGGTTTTTTTATCACACAATTTTATTTTCACCAAAGACAGACGGGATATAAACTACTTGGCTGATCTTTTTTCTTTCCAACCTTAAGTTCCTTATAGTCAATTACCTATCAACTATAAGAGAATCTTCAAGAGTTTCCAAAACCCTCTCAATTTTGATTTTTTTGGGGTAAGATTAAAAATAAATCGCTCTCCAATAACAACTTATCTCAATTCCCAATCTTTCTACACTTGAAAAACACGATCTAATTGAAAGGATCAAGATGCCCAAGAAGAGAGGTGAATTGGGCTAATTCTAAAATTCTTTCAATAATTAAACCCTACACTTAACCCACTTCACCCCTTGTGCCTAGAATGTGTTCCTATTATTCTACCGCACAAAAGTTATGCACCTTAGGTTCCAATCCTACTCTAGTATGACAATTCTAAGAATGTAAAGACAAGAAATAAATTGTTCAAATGTAAATGCTTGAAGTAAAGAGAGGAGAAGAAACGCGGCGATGTTTTGCCGAGATATCGGAGAGTCGCCACTCCCCACCAGTCCTCGTTGGAGCACCCGCGCAAGGTGTAGCTCCTCCTTGATCCGCACAAGGATCAAGTGCTCTCTACGGGTTGATTCTTCGACACTCCGTCGCGGTGAATCACCCACAACCGCTCACAACTTGAGTTAGGTCATCCACAAGCTTCGTCGGATGATTACCAAACTCCCAATCACCACCAAGTCGTCTAGGTGATGGCGATCACCAAGAGTAACAAGCATGAACTCTCACTTGACCACAACAAGCCTAATGAGAAGGGTGGATGCACACTTACTACTCTCCTTGCACTAATGAGGCCTTAATCTTGGATTCTCAAATCTCAATCACCTCACTAGGCTCTTGCTCTTCTTAGCACTCTCAAAGGTGTTTCTCAGCTGATCAAATGGGCAAGAGACCTCCCTTGGATGAATAGAGAAAGTATTTCTAACCCCTCATTCAAAACGAACCATTAGGAGGTTGAGTCAGCACTCTATGGGGTGACCAGACGCTCCGGTCATGGTGACCGGACTCTCCGGTCAGTTGTCCCCGCCACAGAGCTGTTAAATTGTGATCGAACACGTCCGGTCATAAAAACTGCTCTCTAGAACCTTACTGATGTTGACCGAACTCTGGCACCCAGCGTCCGGTCACTTCGTAGTTCAACGTTTGGTCAGTAACCGGATCCTGACCAGCGTCCGGTCAGCACTGACCGGACGCGTCCGATCAAGAATCTCCCTATCTGGAACCTCTCTGGAGTTGACTGAACTCTAGCACCCAGCGTCCGGTCACTTTTCAGTCCTGTCGCAACCAAACAACTTCACCTTGATCAAATGAATTGACCGAACACTACAGCCAGCGTTCAGTCACAACCGGACCAGCGTCCGGTCAACATTTAACCCTTCATTCACTTCTAACTCGAAATCATATGTGAATAAAGTTTGCTCCAATTGATCTTAGGGTTACTCCGGAGCTACCTAGTGCTAGATTTAACAAGTGTGCACCACATCTAACCCACTAGACTCACCTAGGTCAAGCTACTAGTTCATACCCCCCTTAATAGTACGGCCAAAAGAAAAACAAAGTCCTAAACTACTCTAAGTGTCTCTTCAACACCAAACGACACTTAGAACTAGTCCATCCTTAACCTTGTCGTCCATCATTTGAAAACCAAAATGATTTCCATCGTAGGGGCATGACAACCATGATTGCCCAATCAATTGCCATTACCATGACCTAACTTAATTGCCTCTGCAAAACACACGTTAGTCATAGTAATTTCGTATTGTCATTAATCACCGAAACCCAACTAGGGGCATAGATACTTTCAATCTCACCCTTTTTGATGATTGATGACAATACAACCTCGAGTATGTGAAAGAGATGAGGTTTTCAACATGCTTGGTTTATATAAGCTTTTGACGATAAGAGCAAAGGAGTTAGACATGCTTATATGACCCAAGCCAACATGGTGTACTCAATAGATATGAAATAAACATGAGTACAAGAATTAAAGCTCATTTGAATCGGAGTAAAACACGGAAGCAAAGCAAATGAGCATAACCAAGTGACATGACATATAAATAAATCAAAGTAGAGAGCACACATGTCACATATCACATAAGTATCACAATAACAAGTATGTAGTTCAATGCATGAAAGTAAACGTGAATGCATAATAGTGTATCACACATAAAAAGCCAAAAGTAATAATTCATAAGCTCCCCCCTAGATATAGCGATCCCCCTAGATCTAACATACTCGATCCCTCTCCCCCTTTGACGTCAAGCACCAAAACCTAAGGGTCGGTCGGTGGGGCAGGAGCAGATGAGTCGAGCGTTGAGGTGCGATGAGCGATCTGAAACTATGTAGCATCATCCTCTGATCCAGAGCTCTGAGCTGTCTGACCCTCTATCGCTGGAAGTGAAGCTGAAGCGGTCTGGGTCTGTTCTGGGACTAGCGCGACCTGTGACTCTGCAGGTATCACTGTAGGCTGTGGCTCTGATGATGCAACCGATGATGGCAGTGTCTCTGTAGTCCCTGTAACTAGAGCAACTGTGGTAGGAGCAGGGACACGTAGCTCTAGCGGTGTAGGCTACCCTATAAGCTCGCTGAAAGTGGCACCAAGGCTCCTAGAAACTGGTGTGTCAGATAGAAGCACTGAGGAGCTCTGAGCCGGAGTGAAACCCATAACAATAGGTGTGAAGTGAGGACCTTGGGCTATCACTGGCGAAGCAAACCACTAGGACACCTGCTTTGTAGGTGAAGCAAATTGTATAGCTGGTTGTCCCTGACTTTGAAGCCCACTGGGCTATACAACTGGAGTCACTAAGGTGGTGGTAGGCTATCCGATTTGAGGTGTAGACTATGGCGGAGGAACCCCAATAGCAGTGACAACATGCTGCATAAGTCCAAGTAACTACTGCTGCATTAGGAGCTGCTGCTGCTGCATGGCCTGCTGCTGCTGTATGGCCTGCTGCTGTCTCTAGAACTCGTCCTATCTGGCCTGAACCTATGCTAGTGCAGCTGCGGTCTCCTGGGCCTGGTGTGCCTGATCCTACCTCATCCGCTCAAGTATATCAAGAAGAGCTAGATCTATCTGCGGTGCCTATGGTGGTGCTAAGCTAGAGCCACTGGCCTCTCTGTCATGTGCTCGAGGAGGCATCTGAGGAATAGCCTGGTAGTCATCATTTGAGCTATCACTAGGATCGCTCTTGACCATACCCTCCTATTGTGCATCTAGCTCCTCCTCCTCTGTCGCTGTAATGCCCCTGATAATTTCATCCTGCTGGGCTGCAGACTCTGGCACCTCTGGGTGATGGCTCAGCTGGCTAGGTGTCCT